ATGTATGCTGCAAACAACCCTGAAGGACTGTCAATGCTTTTGGGATTGTCTGGGCAATGGAAGTAGCTTGCTGAGCAGAGACTTGTTTGACTGCAAGTAGTCTGCTCTCTAACTATGATTTTTCCTTCTGTATACACTTAGCTATATGACTGTTCTACCATAACCTCTAATGACCCCAAAGTTGAGGTCTTTTCATGCCAGCATTTTCCTATGCTCTATTTCTCCTGAGCTTTCCCCGTGCCATCTCTTTTTCCACATCCTCAGCTGGAGTTCCATGCCCCAGCATAGGACACCGCTGAGCAGATGCTGGAGCTGCTATTTGCACAGCTTTACTGTAGTGCCTCTGTGCAGGCAGAGGCTCTCATCAGAGCAGCCCTGGACGCAAAGGCAAGACCTAGTATAGATCAAAGTGTTTCTTGAATAAAAAAATCCCCTTCCCTGTGTTTAAGTAAACGGTAAAATTAACATAGATACAGACTAAAGAAGGGAGGACAAGGTGGGAATTGCAGGAAATTGCGATGTGTTCATTAGCATATGAAGAGGGCTTTATTTATACCAAGTGGCAGCATGATCTAGTGGGCATTAAAAGAGGTATTCACTTACCCACTCAACTACCATAGAAACTTTTCCCCACGGCTGCACGTGCCTTTGATGTTCCTTTTAAAGAGTGATTTTTTTTCCTTTCTTACCGCAGATGAACTCAGACATGCTTGAAATAAGTCTTAGGTCTGAAAATTCAGGAGACTTGGATTGAGTTCCTGACTTACTACCAGCTGTGTGTGTGAAACAGATTCCTCTCACACGCTCTGAAACAAGGGCTATAATGAAATAAAGATGTTACCTCACCAGTCCCTTGTGAGGTTTGAATCACTTTGATCAGAGATCCATGGATAATGAGTGGAGTGTCACTACTGGTGCTGGTAATATAATCCTCAGCTGGAAGATAACACAGCTACACTGCAGTCTGGGATGCAGAAAGTCCATCTTCTTGTAGGCACAAATTATGTGTATCTAACAGTTCACATTAGTGATATGTACTGTCCTATGTACCTTTAGTTGTACAGGTCAGCGTATTGTGAATCTTGAAAAATTAGACAAGATTATTGATTTATAGAGTTTCTGATTTGTCACTTACATTTTAGGAACATCTTCATAAAAAGAAAAACTTTTATTGAACAATATCTACAATTTTAATTGGTATCTCCTATGGAGTGCAAGAAATACTGAATCTGACCAGAAATTGTGTATGAAAATGTCAGGAGGTCTCTTACATCAAGCTTCACAACCTTTCACTTGAAAGGCTGAATGTATTTCATTCAAGCAGGATTAAATGGAAACAGTGAAAGAATGACTGAGTGAGTTTGTACTGGAATTGCTGTGGAACTGGTAGACATCTTCCTTTTGCATGTCTATCCATGCTAGGGAATAAATTTGACTTGAAGGAGTGGTTTCCTGAGCATTTATAATTTAGTGAGCCGGCCACTGCTAATTGTCTGCAAGGCCCAAGGCTTGGGAGGTATGTGCTCCCCTTGGAGAGAGACACACAAAATGGCACAGTGCTGAGTGAAAGAGACTGTAGTCATAAGTAATGTTTAAAATGATCACTTAACCATACAGCCAAAATACAGCACAGATCTTCAAGGGATTTGTGATTAGTAGTTAGACTTAATTCCTGCATCATATATTGGTATGTTGAGATGTTATAAACATTATGCAATGCTAAGAACTGTTCTGTGTGAAGACTTCGTTGTAGCTACTTATCCTCCTGATCAAGCTTTCAGTAAAAAAAGCATATTTTCAATGTCTTTCCCATATCAGGCTAGATATTGATAACTGCCCACTTCTGCTTCCTACTGTTCCTTCCACCTGTCATGCTGTTGGATTCAGCAACCTTCCACCTGGCTGAAAAAGACATGACATGATGTTCCATGCTGCAGGGATCCCTTAGCCTACAAGGGGAATTACCACTGTTTAATATGAGATGAATTTCATCTTTCCAACCAGACTCTGTGTGAAGGAGCAGAATGCTGAATTGTGTCTTAACTCACAGCACCACTGTTGTGCTGCCGTGGCTCAGCAGATTTGTTGTTGGTGATCAGTAGATCAGTTTTGCAGCCTTCTGTGTCTGACTGTCTCATGGGCCTGGCCACCTCCAGTCTCAGTGCATCTGGAGTGTCCCAGATGCAATTGGCAGCAAAAGGAGCACAGCTTGCCTGACAGCAGAGCTGCTGTAACATGTCTGAATCTATGGGTCAAGGGCTACAAGCGTGGAGCAGCTCCTTTCAGAAGTTCTGCACCTATTCTTTATGCTTAAAAGGTTTCCTTCTCCCGAAGCGTGCTGTGGACTGCAAACCCAGGTTTCTCTAACCCTGGGAATTTTCACCCTGCATGATTCCTGCAGATGTAGTTTGGGGAGTTTAGTTTGTTTTTTATCTTTTTGCTGATTCCAGGCCTCTTTCCTGTTCCCTCCTTCCACGTGTACCTTCTTCATGCCTGATTTATGCCTGGCTGCTGCAGGATGGAACATCCTCAGCTGGCTGCAGAGCATAGAAAAGGAGCTAGGCCTAGTAGGATGTCTTCAAGGATTTTTTGTCAGTGGCTTTTCCTGTGTTGTAATACTGGTTTCTACATCTTACCCATAACAAACAAACAAAAAAGCCACCACCTCTTTCCTCCACCACCTCTTTCCTTTCCTTCCCTCATTATAATTCTTTTCCTTCCCTGATTTCAGGCTCTCTCTCCTCATGGCCTCTCTGAGGCTACTGTGCCGAAGAGATGAGCCAATTTGCCTTAATCTGGGTGTCAGGCTTGGAGGAAAGGCTTAGGAAAAATGAAATTCTCTCAGGTCTGTGAGTTCAGCAGGCATTTAAAATAATGACTCCAGTCTTTATTTCTATTGCCCTGTCAGTTTGCCCCAGGACAATAACTGTGGACACTAGCCCAGCAAATTTTGGATTGGAAACAGCACAACTTCTGCAGTCAAAGAATCAGAGAAAATGCTGAGTTGATAGGAACCCATAAAGCTCATTGAACCTAACTCCTGGTTCTACACAGGACCACCCAGAAATCAGACCATGTGTACTAGAGCAGGTCCTGGTGTAGCTTCTCCATCTCATCTTGCTGCTATCTTTGGGCAGCAGCTTGAGTGATAGGAACCAACTTCAGTCAGAAGCAGTTTTTATACACAAGAAGTCTAAGCAGAAAACTTCATTAACAACTGCTGACACAGCCTGACTCTTCTCTTGTTTGAGTTTAGCTATAAACTCCCACCTACTTCAGTGGAGCACTGTGAGATTTCTATCTGTATGAGTGCTCAGGAAGTACTGAGGTAAGGACTGCTGCATGTCTGACAGCTGTAAAACTAGGTTGCAAGGCAGATGGAGCTTTATGACAATTTACTCTTCTCATAGAAAACTCTCTCCTTTTCATTAATTTCCTGAGCTTATTCTCCTGGACTCTGCTGCCTGTTATTGTAAATGTGGCAAGAGCAGAAGCCAAAGCATGTTCAGAGAAATATTAGCATGTGTTTGTGCACGCATGCTTATCAAGTGAACACGTATCTACATGTTTGCTTGCATCTGCTAACAGAGTAATTCATGACATGAATGTGCATATACCGTCTGAGATCCAGTTTAGAATTTTTAGTAAATGCAGAACCACATACTGAGGTGTTATCTCAGTCCTTACTCAGGAAAAAAAACAAAAAAACAAAAACAAAAAAACCCCCAAAAACAACTCACAACAGTAATATATAGTTCCAATTTACATGCAAAACCACAATACGTTGCACAGGATTTTTTCTTTCAGTTCAGAAGTTACTCTTTCAGTGACATGAAAAAGTAAAAAAATGTACAGCTGAAGTACGTATTGACATTAGAAACTTTCAGTTGTGCATCTTCAAGTCCACTGTGAGAGAGAACCTCCTTGTTTTTCTCAAAAGAAAAACAGAATTTTGTTTCCAGCCCAGGATTCATTAAACATCTGTTTTTTTCTTTTTTTCTTTTTTTTTTCTCCACGATTGCCATTTTTTATTTTAGTTATTTCCAGAATTCTAAAACTTCTCTGTGTTTCCAAAAACTCAGAGTAGTCATTCCAACCTCAAGGGATCTAAAAAGTTGTGCTTGAACAGTAGTTGCCACTAGCCAAACTCAGTTACCAGGCTTGAGGAAGGAATTTAGACTTGTCCAATAAAACCAAATAAGAGCAGGGCGAGTATTTTGGGTTATCAAAATGAGCTTCAGAACATATTTAAGGATAAAATAAAAAGCTCAACTTTTTATTTTGATAATAGTATAATTTTGATAATACTTGATTTAATGAATAGACATAATTTGATTTGAAATTATTTTTAAAGGGCTAGAATGCTTTCTTTTTTTTCTTTCTTAATAGCATACACAAAAGCAATATCCCCCAAAGCAGACTTGCATTCAGATGTGAGATGAGAAACTTGTATTTATAAAAGCCATCTCTTTTTGCTTTAAGCAGTGAGATGTGCTGAGAAACTGGTACAGTATGACAACATTTTAAACACGGAGGAGATGAGATTTGTCTGTCTGGTATACAATATAAAACAAAAATCGAACACCAATTTTACAACATTATACTGAAACAAACCACAGTAATTAGATGCTTTGAAGTCAAGCCTATATTTTCTTCAGCTTTTTCATGAATTATTGATCCACTTTCCTCACTGAATGGATTGGTAAGCTCTTGCAGTAAATGGACAAGTGACTACAACATTTATATAATCGTATATCCTCTGCATCTGGCAATAAAACATGTTTGTGTATAAAACACCCCTTCTGAATTGACATGTCTGCAAAACAGATTTACTACTGTAACCACATTCCTTTTCTTTTGTCTCTAAAACACAGCTTTTCTTACATCGTCATGCAATCCAGTATTTTACTCTGGTCATATTAAGCAACATATTTTCAAAGAGCCTGTATTGTCCTTTGTGCAGCAGAAATAATGAGATGTAAATAAACTGTCTCACTTACCTTATTTTCTCCATCTCTGCCGCAGCGGCCTACAAGAAATCAAATAATAGGAGCAAGTGAATGAAAGGAAACATTCACTCTGCAGATTTATGCATAGTTAAGCTTTCCAAATGGTTTTCGACAAGTGTCTACAAAGCGACGGTAAGCAAACCCCACATCTGCATTACCGAAAATAACACTGAGAGATTAACTCAGGAATAATGCAGCACGCTGCAGGAGTGCTGTGTATACCCACGAGCCATGGGCAACAGAATGACTCAGTTGTAGCACTGAGGGAGAAAATGGTGAGAGAAAGAGGAGGGGGAAAAAAAAAAAAAAAGAAGAAAGCAGCAGCAAGTAACAGGTTACTGTGCCTCCTGGATTTCAGATGAAAAGTTGAAATGCAGTGCTACCCTCTGCGCAGTGGGCATGGCAGCAGGGCTCGGCTGGCTGGGAAATTAAAGTGACTTCATCACATGTGAATTTGGATTTGGAGTTCAATTCGCCGTGTTTCACAGAGCCTGACTGATGGAGTGGACACAGGCTGGCATCCTTCGTGGGAGTTTCAAATAGTCAAATTACTTTCCTCAAGTAATACGCTATCTTGACAATTAGCATCTCAATGCGTATGGGCTTTTTGTTAACCCTTTCATTGCTACTAATCTGCAACTCCAGTACCTACCCAGTTCCCTCTGCTTGCTATGTAAGCTGGGCTCCCATTAACCCTTCAGCAGCTTCACAGCACTTCTGTAGCCTTGATTCTTTACATGCTGGTTCAGCAGTAGGTGGTAATTTCATTAATCTGCTTCATTTCTTTTTTACCATAGAGACGCTGTGAATCCTACTTATCTGCAGCACAGAGACTCGTTAATCTCTGCCAGTACTTATATGAAAAGCAGACTCCTGTTAACCCTTTGGATCTTTTTTCGTCATTATCTTCTGCAGGTCCTTAATAGCTGCTTCCATTTTATCTAATCATCCCACTGGCACAGAATCTCATCAATTCTCCTGGTCCTGTTTTATTGAATCTAAGGGATGAACACTTGGAGCAACCCTGCAAGCTTTAGAGCCAGATAAATCCCAACGTCTCAGAAACTCTTATTTATACTAAAAGCATTGCCCATTAATCATGAACACTTTAAACCCTATTGATTAATGAGTGACGATCATACTTGAGTATGAAATAAATTAAAGATTAAAAATAGGGAAATTCTAATCAGTTATGCAGCAGGAAATTTGTCAAACTGCCTAATAAAACATGCCAAATGACAAATTGTTGGTTCCTCATCATGTCACTCTTCCCCCCCAACCCCCCCCAATTTTCATTTATTTTTGATTTGTCTATTAGATAAGTTGTCAGTCAGGACAATGTTTGCATGATAATTTCTGATGATATGTGTTAAAGATGGTAGGCATTCACCAGAACTTGGTATGTAAGAAGCCAGCTGTGGAAAAACCCTTCCTCATTTTCCCCAGGAGAGGATGTGATCTATATTATGCGCTCTCTGCTTACCTACTGGGAGCATGGGGGATGCCTGTTGTAAATTCTGGATTTTAAGATTAAAGATCTAACATAGGGACCTCTCATTACTTTCTCTTATTTCTATCTCTCCGTTGAATCCATGAACATTCTAGAGTGTATAGGAAATGGTTTAAGCATTATTGACTGGAAAATGAACCTTGTGGGCTTTTTCTAGGTATAGGAAGGCACTGGCAGCCCCATGGGGCTTACCACTTTGGTTTTCCTCAAGTATACTTAAAAAAAATTTGCCATAATCATTGTGTTCCTGTCATTCTGAAGCTAGGTATAACTTTCACTGGAGCTATTGCATTGTCTTGAACTGCAGGAGCCACCTGAGAAGACTGGGTACTTATTAGTGCTTTTGTTATGGCAACAATATAAGGGGAAGCTATCTTAACCTTGTTTTTGCTTAATGCTTTAAACGTTGCTATACTCATGGTGTCAGGGTGAAGGTTGTTGCAAACAATTTAAATGCAGGATGGAGAAGAGAATCTGTAGGATGGCTTTTTGGCTGTACTGTTGACCTCATCTATGAATGCAGGTGAGTCATTGCCTGCCAATCTGTACTGGAAATTCATAGGAAAAAAAAGCGCAGAAAAAGCTTACACCAAAACAAACCAGAAAACTACACCAAGTTGCAATTTCATCAGTCTGATTATTATTATTATTGATATTATTATTGCAACTCTTTTATTTCCTTTCCTCACAGTAAAATTTGTTTTCTTTGTGCATGAGGGGGCCAATTATCCATTGGACCTCTGGGGATGTTATCCTCTGCCTTTCTTTGACTGTGAGGTCAAAGTGTAGAGTGCTCCTTGTCTCCTTGACTGATGATAGGAGCAGTGGCTTCAGCTTAGCCCTCCTCAAGGAGGATGCCCTGACCTAGGTCAGTGCCTTTCTTGGCCATAGCACTACGATGCTGTGTCTCTTCTTTTAATGGTGACCTACTCTCAGTAAATAAATAACAGCAGATGAGAGGACTAAATCTCATATGTTCATCATATGGATGGCCTAGCTTACATGCTAGAGAGCCAAACAAACATGTAGGAGTGTTTGCTGGTGAAAACAAAGATAAGATTGTCCATATAGTTTTCATATGAAGCAGTTTGTCTCAGATAACTATGTTCCTTTGGAAGATCTTTTTTACCCTTTTCTCCTTTCTGACTTCCTTTTCTTCTTCTTTCTTTTCTTTTTTTCTTTTTTGTTTCTTCTCTTTTTTCTTTTCCCCTCTTTCTATCTCTTTCCGAAAACCTTAGAAATTCAAAATGATTTTAAAAGTTTGGTTTTCTGAAACAGATCTTTTCTCAGAAGGTGGCAATTTTGCTGAGGCAAAATTGTTTCCTAGCCAGTTCCCTGCCATTGCTATAGCCTGTGGAAATCTTAGAGTCTATATCATCCTTAGACAGCTCCCTATGAAGGCTCCCACCTGAAATGTCCTAACAAATTGAGTTTAAAACATATTCTAAATGGCTCTGAATTACTCAATTGTAGGGAATCTTATGGGATTTATCTCAAGTTCAAAGACTGAGGTTAATGTTGGTATGAGGATGTCCTTCATGATGTATCATTTATGAGTTGCTGCTTACTGTGGGATTGGTCTATTTAAGTGCTTCATGATGCCTGAACTGAGCACTGGGATTGCAACCTTGTGTGATTTTTTTTTAATAACATTTTTAATTAAGATCAGTAATTACCTTTAATTATAAAAATATCAGATGTAATTGAATTACCTTTTTTTAAAAAAATAATATCAAGGCAGCATGTCTAAAGCATTTTAAATGTCTAAAACAAGCAAGTTTTCTCTTAAAGGGAATCATCAGCTTTGATAATTTAATGTCCTATATTTCCATATACAGACTTCTACATAAAATGTGGAGACTGGCTTGAAGATTTTCCTTTCTGTGGAAGTGTTTGGTACAGTTACTTTGCTTATGAGCACTACCAGGCAATGTCTAATAGTACTAGCAGACAAATCTCTGTTTCCAAGTATCTGAAGAATGCAAATATGAAACAGAACAACTGACAAGACCTTTGTTCTGATAGCTGAAAGCACCTGAATATATATTTTGGGACAAGTATTCTAAGGCTAAGGTTTTTTGTTGCTGTTTTTGTTTTTGTTCCCGTTTTTGTTTTATTTTCTTACACTTATTCTGAATGAATTTTTGATATTCTTCATTATTCTTCAAGAATAAAATCTCTCACCCAACTGAAAGCGAGAATGCTGTTAATGAAAACTCCAGGATATATTACTGTGGGTTGTTGGGGTTTTTTTCCTCATTTAGTATATTGTTACTGCCTTTCAGTCAGCATGACAAACACAGTTGTTTTCAAGTCAGTAGAGCAAACAAAAACCACTGATTTTCTTTCTTTCTTTCTTTTTTTTTTTTTTTTAAATCTCCCTGTGTTTAATTACAGAGTTAAGCAATCACAAGACAATGGGAGAATATTTTTAATCGTTTTTGTACTTAAACTATGTCTGTTGACTGAATTCTTTGATTTTTATTTCTTCTTACACGACTGGAGTTTATAACGTAGATTTTTTTTTTTTCTGAACAAAAATATCTTTTAATAAGGAAGAAAGTTATGCTGACGGTCTATCTATCATTCTATGAAATTCACATGGTGACAGCATTGGTAAAATATTGGTTCTCTTCCTTTTTTCTATTAGCATTTTCTGAAGGATAAGAAATCATGAGATTTCAAGCCTCTCAGCTATGTAATGAAATTTCCTTTCTGTAACATCTTGAGGTCAATTTTTAAGATACAGATGTATATATGAAAGAGGAAGTGCAACTTCTTTTCGTTTTTGTTTATTTGTTGGAAAGAGGTACTTCATTTTAGGACAATCAGCCTCAAATTTTAGCTTAGTACTCACCAGTCTTCCCTCTGAATTTAGTGGACTTTGAGTTAGAATGCTGTCTAGCTGTGAGCAAATGTATAAGACAAGAAATGGCAACAGGAAGTTACTGCCTCTCATATAGTCTGACTCTTCTTATTCTGACTTAATCAGTGTTGTGGGAGGTAATTTTACTTCTGTGTTGTGGAAAGCTGTAAATGAGAGTTAATCCATAGATAAGGGCTTCTGAGTTCCTAGAACACTCATAAGCTGCCACATTTTCAATTACAATAGTTTCACTTGTGCGTTTCTTTTGTACTTGCGGTATTACTAAAGTTTGAGAGGAACCAGTGTAACCATATTCCTTGTCTTTTCTGTGATGTAAAAGATTTGGTTTATGGACTACATAATTTGATAGAGTCAGTCTTTAACTTAGGCTCTTAATCCCTTTTTAAAGTATAAGCTTCAATATACTACTAAAATGATGTTTGAAAAAAGGCAAAAATTTAAACTATAGGAAATTTCATGGATTTGGAGGAAGCATCTTGCTGCATTTGATTTGGCTTCATGTGTTCAAAGGATCTGTTGTTTGGTAGGTTTTTTTTTTCTTTGACAAAGAAGAATAACATTTTTTGTAAAACTCTTGCATGTAATTGTCACGGAAATGCAAAGAAAATTCAGTCCAGTTCGCC